TATTATTTAAAACTTACTTGTCTCAAAACTCACAACTGAATTTTGTAGAAAAAAAAAAAAAGAGATAAAAAACCAATTCTTGTGTCTTTTATGCCATTTCTCCAATATCCAACTCTGCTGTATCAGTATCAATCTCCTTCAACAATGCTCTCCTCGTTAAAAGCTTGAAAACAAATTAAAAAACCACCAAAGGGACCATTAACTTCCTAGTAAAGACTAAAAACAATACTATCTTTTTTTATATGGATCATATATTGCCATATTAGGTTTCAACTTTCAACTTTTATAAGTTTATTTTATTTTATTTTAAATTTTGTTTTATACTTGTTAATAAATATGTTCTAACAAAAAAATTAGTATACTTTCTTTATCCCAAAATAATTGATATTTTTTATTTAGAATTTATCCCAGAATAATAGTCTTTTTTTTTTTAATTTTGAGGAAGATAAATAGTTTTTTTCTACTTTAACCCTATAATTATCTCTTAACTTTAATTATTTATTTTTCGATGAAAGTAAATATTTATTCTTAGTTATTTTTTAAGTATAAAATAGGTAAATATAAAAATTATTTTCAAATATTTCATTTGAAGATAAAACAAAAAAAATATATTATTCTAGTATGGAGAGAGTAATATTTAAGTAATGAAACTCATTGATTTTTTATTATCACAAAAAATTGTATAATTTCCTTTTAAGATTTAGAATTGTTGAGATTACAAATAAAATTAAATATTATGGTAATATTGAAGTTATATGGAATAGAATTAGATCGGAGAAAAAAAATTGAAAAAAAGAAAACAAAGTACAAATTCATAAAGGGAACATATATGAATCCAATAAAAGGAAAAACCTTGGATATAGTCATATAGAGAAAAGCAATAGGAACATAAATTAGTATAAAAAGAAGATAAACTCGTATAAAGTATAATTAGTTTGTAAAAAGGGAAAAAAAATTATTTACTTGTAGAAAATGGTAGGGTGAAGAGATAGGATATTGCCATATTTTTAAATTATGTCAATGGCTTATGGAGACAAAAAAATCAGATGTTTATAGTCTCAATTACAAGTTAATTACTTTGATACTTACTCTTCCAGTTTCTACAACAATAGCAAAAAAAGTATTTTTTATTATGAAAATTGTTAAAATGAGATTTCACAGCAAAATGAAAGATGAATCTCTCTCAAACTCTTTGATTGTTTATATTGAAAAAAAAATAGTTCAGTCATTTAATGTAGATAATATTATAAATAGATTTTATGGTATGAAAACTCGTCAAGTATTATTTTACATATGATATAAAAGTAAATTTTTAAAATTATAATACATTATTTTAAAACTTAAAAAACCGACTTCCCTTATTAAAATTCCTAACTCCACCTCTGCAACCCATCTAGTATAGATTTCTTAAAACGAGAAATCTTCCATTTTTTTATTTTATTTTATTTTTTATTTTTTTTGGTTGCCTACCCAGAAGGATCTTCCCTTGAAAAGAACTTGAAATGCAACTTCAACCGACGTCGGTGTATCTCAAACCACCATTTAACTAAAACTGAAACCCCAGGTCTCTTATTTCTAGAGTAGAAAGATTCAGCAGGACTCCGCCCCGCCCCGACCATGCCATTGCCGAAGCAAGTGCATGCTGCAATCTGTTCGAGTCCAACTAGCCCTACATTCACGCAATCTTCCTCTACCTCAGGTAAAATACAATGAAATTATACATTGAGATCGTCAAGACAAAAAGTCCGAGTAAAGAAATTTCAAAAAGAAACAAATCTCATCTTTGTTCGTACTCCTTAGTCGTCGAAAGGGAAAGAAAGTCAGAGACACGGTTAGGGGTAGTGAAAAAACAAGAGGAGAGAGCACATTCGCTTGCCCCTTTCACCAAGGCAAGTTCCCATCAATTCCCCATAACTGTCATAGCAAATTTAAAAGACTTGGTCTCAATTACTTCAGAAAAGTCCAAAAACGTGACTTCACAAGATGGCAGCAAATATCTACATCTTAGTCACAGGAAACTGTTCATTTGATTTTTATTGGTTTCGCTGATCAACCAATCAACTGTTTTACCGAAGCTCATTTTCTTAAATGCTTCCGCAGTCTTTTTTTTCAAACTCAGAAATTCAAATTAATTTCATCACAATCATCTTAAATTTGAGGGGACCATCTTAAATTTGAAGGGATATGTTAAGATGTAAATATAATTATATTTATAATTATTATAAATATTTTATATTTTAAAATATTTTTTTTGTAAACATTTATAAATAAATTATTATACATACAATATTATTCAAGAAAGTAATAAATATTTCTTGAATATTTCTTCTTCTCTTCTTTTTCTAATATATTTTGCGGACTTTCTACGGTCACATGGAATCTCGCTCTTCATTTTTGGCTTCTTCTTTTCTTGATCACTTAACATCTATTATCATCTGAGCCTCCCCCCTCCACCCATTTCCCATCTTACATCAAAACCTAACATCTATATAGATTCCTAATCAGTGTCCATAAAGCAACATCTGTTCCATAGCAAAGCAACTCTTGCTCCTTCCCGTAGCTTTCTTTGCACTTTTCATTTGGCAGGCAGAGTGTTGTTAATTTCCAGGCTTTGGGGAGTTCGTTCTGCTTTTCTCTTTTATCTCACATAACGAAAACAAGGATCAGTCCATTTGAATCAGGTATTAATTTTTTGCTATGGAAACATGCGTTTCGCCTAAGATCAAGGGTAGTATTTCTTATGATATTTAATTAGTTTTCAATTTATAAAAACCAGTCGTTAACAAAACAGTTTTTTTTTTTTTTTGGCCGAATAACAAAACAGTTTATTATACTGTTCTTTTCCATTATAGAAGTAGGGATTTTACATTTGAACCATGACAAAAATATAAGGTGAGAAGATTGTGGAGATAGAGAGAGAGAAAGAGAAAGAATTTAGTTCATTTTAACTAACCCATAAATTTTTTTTTAAGTACATTTACACTTGTTATAACTAGAGGCAGTCCCTTCTTTTCATAAATGATTCACATCCAATTTGAATGTCATTTAACCCAAATATTTTTAGAATTAGTGGATTACAATTTAACTATTTTGTTACAACGATGGAAGATATTAATCCAAGATCTATCTGTTATATCATGTTATTATCCTTTTTTTTTAATTAAAAACATCTTATTCACTCTTTCCACGTTTTTTTTTTTTCCAAGGAAGGCTTAGTTTGAAGGTTTTAGATTCAGCTCTAATTAACTAAGCTAAGAAAGAAGAAGCAATTCTAATTCTAAGGTTAAGGCATCCCAACTAAGTTCTGGACCTATCTGAATAATTATCCTATGAGGTACATACTTTACAAAAATACTTCGAAAATATTCCTTTAATTATTATAGTAGCTAGTCTTCAATATATTTTTACCTAATTAATGTGTTGTTGTCATCAGTTATCTACCCTAAGTACCAACATGTCATTTAACTCAATCATTTCGCTCAAACCCATTTATAATTTGTTTCTTTGTAATCCAAGTTAATCCAAATAAATAGTAATTAGTACATCTTTCAATTTTTTTTTATCAATAATATATATTCTAATTTAATATATTGTACAATACAATGGGATAAATTTTGTAAAGTTCTAAAATGAACCAAAAAGAAAAGTCTCTAAAAAATACTCAAATTCCATAGCTCCTTCTAATTAGGGTTACAAGCTCTTTAAATAAATAATTCTAATAAAAAAAAAGAAACTAACACCCTAAATCTTAATTGGAGGGTTCTATAATTAGTAGATGTAATGGGTTTAAGGTACCCCTTGTATATTTATAATAAATTATTTTTTGTTGATAAAAAAAAAAAACCCTAAATCCTAAACCTAATAACCACGAATTGGGTTTCAAATAAATGAATGTTTAGCCCAAAAATTATACCAAAAACGTGAAAATCACTGAAAATAACCTAAAATAACATGAAATATCAGTTTGTTCCAAATTGCAACATAATTGTGGGATTTTGACACAAACTATCTAATTCAGCATAAATGACCTCAATTAAGCTTCTCTTGAACTTGATTGATGTATACCATGCCTTGATAATCATTCAAGCTTCGATTTACTTGTTGCATGTTGTTATCAACCCAAATCTGCTCAATAAGATCATTTAAAACTTCTTGCATCTTCCTAACTCTAGCTCTTGTGACTGGATCTCCTGGAATGTGTAATGGATCTCTTAACATGGTACATGTGGGGTCATCTTGATTCCCATCATTCCCTTTCTCCTCAAAAGGATTTGTCCTCAAATCATCACCTACATCAAAAGAAGAAAGATTAGAAACATTAAAAGTAGCACTAATATTATACTCACTAGGAAGCTCCAACTTGTATGCATTGTCATTAATCCTTGCAATCACTTGAAATGGTCCATAGCCTCTTGGTTGCCACTTAGAATGCCTTTATACAGGAAATTACTCCTTGTGCATATGCACCCAAACCCAATCTCCAAGTTCAAACACAACTTTCTTACACTCATTGTTGGCTTGATTTGCATATTGCTCAGTTCGTCGCTCTATGGTTTGTCACACCCTCTCATGCAGTTGCTTAACCGCTTCAGCCTTCTTTTTCTCAACTAAACTAGCTCGTTCATCAATAGGTAACGGCAATAAATCCAAAGGAGTGAGTGGATTAAAACCATACACAACTTCAAATGGTGAACAATTGGTTGCTAAATAGTTTGTTGCTGAATAGTTTGTTGCTGAATGGACGCTTCGATTATAAGTAAATTCAACATGCAGGAAACATTCTTCCCAATTCTTCAAGTTTTTTGAATAACAAAACGCAATAAGGCTGACAATGTTTTATTAACCACTTTTGTTTGTCCATCAGTTTGTGGAGTCGAAAACAGTAGCTTAGTTCCCAACTTTTGCCACAAGGTCTTGCAAAAGTAACTCAATAACTTAACATCGCGATCAGAAACAATAGTCCTTAAAATGCCATGTAAACGAACAACCTCCTTGAAGAACAGATCAGCAATATTGGTTACATCATCGGTTTTATGACATGGAATGAAGTGTGCCATCTTCGAGAACCTATCAACAACAACAAAAATAGAATCATAGCATCTTTTCGACCTTGGTAAGCCCAAAACAAAATCCATAGATATATCAACCCAAGGTTCAATAGGTATGGGTAAGGGAGTATACAAACCATGTGGTAAGACTCTAGATTTTGCTTGTTTACATGTCACACACCTTTCACACATCCGTTACACACCTTTCACACATCCTTTCAATATCATGTTTCATATATGGCCAAAAGAAGTGATCGTTTAGAATACTTAAAGTTTTCCTAACTCCAAAATATCCCATTAAACCACCCGCATGTGATTCCCTTATTAACAATTCTCTTAATAGACAGTTAGACACACATAATCGATTTTCTCTAAATAAGAACCCATCATACCTATAAAACTTATCAAAAGTTGCCTTCTCACATGAATTAAACACGTTAGCAAAATCTGGATCATTAGCATATAATTCTTTAATGTGCTCAAATCCTAATAACTTTGCATTTAGATTAGAGATAAGTGTGTACTTGTGAGATAATGCATCAGCCACAATGTTTTCTTTTCCTTGCTTGTACTTGATCACATAGGGAAATGTCTCAAGGAATTCCACTGACTTAGCATGTCATCTATTCAACTTACCTTGTCCCTTCAGGTGCTTCAACGACACATGATCAGTATGTATCACGAACTCCTTAGGCCAAAGATAATGTTGCCATGTTTCTTAGGACCTTACCAACACACACATCTCTTTGTCATATGTAAGATAGTTAAGTGCTGCACCAATCAATTTTTCATTGAAAAACACAATAAGCCGTTGCTCTTGCATCAAAACAACACCAATGCGAATATCTGATGCATCACATTCAATTTCAAAAGTTTTAGTAAAATTAAAGACAAGAAAATTTAAGAATGCAGTCATGCATACAGTAAGAACTAGCTGAATTGATTGTACTTATATTATATTTTAATGACTAAATTAAATGGGTGTAAAAAAATGTGTCAAAGTGGATAGTGTACCAATCATTTTCCTAATCCAAACTCTATTTGTTATATCATGTTAGGGATAATGATAGGTTTGCCCTCATTATCCACACACTCCGTTACACCTTTCAATTTCTGTTACTTTCCGTTAATTACACCTTAACTCCGTTACCATCTTCCTTTTCTCCTACTTGTTGTTTACTGTCCTCACCAGCCAGATCCATCTTCCTCCTCACCTCCATCCTTATCCTCTTCATCCAGTATCTTGTTCCTCTTTCTTTCTTTCTTTCTTTCTTCTTTTTTTTTTTTTTTCTTCTGTCTCTTCCATCATCCTCTTCCAAGAGAACCCACGGGGTTTTTCAAGAGAACCTAGATCTAGGTTCTCTTGAAAAAGAACCCATGGGGAAGAAGAAAAGAAAGGAGGAGGAGGGAAAAGAAGGTTGAAAATCAAAGAGCCCTCTTCACCTCCATCCTCATCCTCTTCATCCATTATCTTCTTCCTCTTTCTTTCTTCCTTTTTTTATTTTTTATTTTTATTCTCTCTCTCCTCCATCATCCTCCTCCAGGAGAACCCAGATCTAGGTTCTCTTTCCAAGAACCCACGAGGTTCTCTTGGAAAACCCAGATTTGGGAGAAGGAAAAAGAGGCAAGGAGAGGGAAAAAAGAAAAAGAAAGGATGAGGAGGGAAAAGAAGGTTGAAAATCAAAGAACCAAGATGAAATTGCAGGTTTTGGTTTGGTTGGTGAGGATGGTGAACAAAAAGGAGGAAAAGGAAAGATAGTAACGGAGTTAAGGTGTAATTAATGGAAAGTAACGGAAATTGAAAGGTGTAACGAAGTGTGTGGATAGTGAGGGTAAACCTATCATTATCCATCATGTTATTTTCCTTTATTTTTGGTAAGAACATCTTATTCAGTACTCTTTACTCAATTTTTTCCTTGGGAATCTTCAAACTTAGTTTGAAGGTTTTAATTAGATTCAGCTCTCATTAACCAAGCAAAGAATAGGAAGGATTTCTAAGGTTAGGGCATCCCAATTCCCAATTAAGTTTTGGACCTGTATGAATAATTACTGTGAACATGGTACTTCACAAAAAGGGATTTTTCATTAATTATAATTTTATAATTAATTTTGTATAAAATTTTATATAAAATTTAAATAAAATAAAATATAAAAATATAAAAATATAAATTTTTATTATTTATTTATTTAATTTAATAAACTCTCAATTTTATCAATTTGATTTTACGATTTCGATTTTACATAACAAAAACAATTTTAAATAAAATCTCGATTTTGACAACCTTGATAATAGCCTTTTCTATTTGACTAAGATTTGAAATCTTATTTATTTATTTAATTTTGAACTGCACAATGGATTCAAACTTTTTGTCATCTATTTATTTAATTACATCATGTTGCTTAAGTTGTTGGTTTTATAGTCTCATTTAAATTATCCAGATTAGTATGTTATTCAAGTTTTTTCATGTGTTCCTATATTACTAACTATTGATGTTGCAATAAATCAATAATTGTTATTTGTACCATGATATAATAATTATAATTGAGATTATCTTTTTACTAAAGCATGATATAATAATTGTAATTGAAACTTTTAAATTACATTTTTCATTAAGAAATTTTTGTCCATATAGACTTTTTTATCTTTCATACTCACTTGTACTTTTATTTTTAAATTTAGTAAAAAATAGTACTATTAAATAATATTATTAATAATAATAAATTGAATTTTTTGTATATCACATCATGCATTAATATA